CCTCTCCCTCTCCCTCTCCCTCTCCCTCTCCCTCTCCCCCTCCCTCTGCCTCTGCCTCTGTCTCTCTGCCTCTCTCTGTCTCTCTGCCTCTCTCTGTCTCTCTGCCTCTCTCTGTCTCTCCTCCCTCAACTCTCCTCCCCATGGCTGGAATAAACTCTATTCTATACCATACCATCATGTGGTTGGTACATCAGGAGAAAGGGATGCCTCAGCATGGGCCCATAGAGGAACCTCCTTCCCCCACACCTTAACAAGCCTCCACCACACATATCCCTGGTTTCTCTTTCTTTTTATAAAACACAACACTTTACATCTTCCCAGAAAAGTCATAAAGCACTAAGAGACATTACAGTATTCACCTAAGTAGGCTTATTGCCTGTCTTACTTCTGTCCCTCCCAGACACCACACACACCATATCTCTTACACAGAGAACAATCTTTCTCTATCGATCTGCTCATTCCACTGCTTTGCTTCAACCCTTGTAACAGTTCATAATGAACCCATTCATTTATTCAAGTACTTGCAAACAGCTCTGCATGCATTTTATATTTTAGGCACCGTTCCCAGTACTGATGACACAGGGAGGTTTCTGTGACAGGCACGTTCCTGTTCTCAAGGAGTCGAAGTTCTGAGGATGTGGTCCCATGACATAACCTTCCAATGTTTTAACTTGAATTCGAATTCATCATGGCATATTTTCTCTACCTGTGTCTCTGGGTACCACTTTTCACAACCTAGTCTCCACTCAAGTATACTTTATGTGAGCCTATAGAAATTTAAGGCAGAGAGATAAGGGTGGGAGATCACCTGCTAAGCACTATCTGTCTGTCTCTGTCTTTGCCTCTGTGTCTTGGGGACAGTCTGTGGAACTGATCATGAAGAGAGGGATGAAAATCCCTTGTTTCACAGTGCCATGTGCATTTTTCTCCCCTGGGATTTTGCCCCAGAGTGAGACATGTATCTTTTGGTTCACCCAAATAACAAATCAACTAGGTGACCTTCAAAGTCCTGAAGTCTCCCAAGGCCCCAAAGTATCTCCATCCCTTGAAGTGTATGGGATGTATAAAGGTTAAGAGGCTTAGTGAACTCAGATTCTCAGGACCTCAAGTTTATTATGGACTTGGGGCTTCTGGGGTCTCCATGGGTTTTTGTAATTCCCCAGATAATGGGAACTTTGTATGTGATGCAGTTTCCATGGTCTTCCTTGGCTTCAGGTTATCTTCCTTTTCCTGGAAGGTGAAGAAGGAGTGGGGAGAAAGGGAGGTGATGCAGCTGATTTACAGGGAAGGAGCCAAACCTGAAGAGGAACTCTGAGTAAACATGAGTCAAATGGTTGCTTAACTATCCTCACAATACCTCGGCTGGAGCCTTCAAATCCTCTCTTTTCCCTCTGGTCCCTCCCTGGTGCAACTAGGGGCTCCCAGAATATCCCTCAGATTCCTGAGACATTGCATACAATGTCCTCAGGCAAGTTTTTCACCATGCTCTGGATCACCCCGACCCTCTGGTTTGGTTCTCTTTCTGTGAGAACACCTCTTCCTACCAGCTTAGTGACTCTCTGAGGGCCAAGCTGAGTCTGACCCATCCCTGGGACCTCACACTGCACAGCCTGCAGATTAGGAGACACTTCAGGAAATACTGGTAGGATTAAAGAGATGCCTTGCATGGGTTCCTTTTCTTATTGCTGACCAAATAAATACCTGCCGCATAGGGAAGAAAGATTTTCTCTGGCTCACAGTTTAAGAAAACATACAGCTCACTGAGGTGGGGTGGTAATAGCAAGAAGAGTATGAGACAACTGGTCACACTGAGTCTCTAGTTAGGAATCAGAGAACAGACAGACACTGGGACCAGGATACAGAAGCTGAAGCTCCACAACCAACCACACACCTCACTTCCTTCAGCCAGACTCCACTTCCTAAAGGTCCCATAGTTCTCCACAACAGCACAGCCAGCTGAGAAACAAGTGTTCAAATTACACAAGCCTATGAATGTGTGTGTGTGTGTGTGTGTGTGTGTGTGTGTGTGAGAGAGAGAGAGAGAGAGAGAGAGAGAGAGAGAGAGCGCACAAAGGGACACTAGCTCTGTGCACAGGGCTTTAGGAGGGATCTGGTGAACTGGTTGGAATGAAAAATTTCCCTCATGGGCTCCTGTATTTGCTCACTTAGTCCCCAGTTAGTGGCACTGTTTAGGGAGGTCACAGCCTTTGCGATATGGAGCCCAGCTTTCCTAGAGGAAACATGGCACTGGGGGTGGGCTTTGTGTGTTTATAGTTTCGCCTGGCCCACTTACTGTCTACACTCAGCTTCTTACTTGCATTTGAACATGTGAGCGCCCTTCTCCTGATGCCATGCCCATTACCACATGCACAATGGACTTTTAAACCCTCTGGAACCACAAACCCAAACAAACCCTTCCTTGATCTTGGTGTTTTATCACAACAGAAAGTAACTAATAACAGCAGAGTGCCTATGGTCCTGAAGACTCACAGATGACAAATAAGAATGAAGAGAGTACTGTTCCATCCAAGATGTCCTGGGGTTGAAGGTTCAGGGCAAGGGAAGGAGCAACCTAGCATTTGGTTTGGATGAGAAATTAGACACAGGCTTCCCTGTGTTGAACATTTGTTCTTCAGCTGGAGGTACTGTTTTGGGAGGTTGTAGAATACTTGGGGATGGGTGAAGGGCTGTAATAGGTGGCTCAGTTAGAGGCTGGCCTTGCTTCCTGCCTGAGCTCTCTGCTTCTCTAGAGCTAGAGTTACAGTCAGTTGTGAGCTGTTTGATGTGTATGCTTGGAACAGAACTCAGGTCTTCTGGAAAGAGCAGGAAGTGCTCTTAGCCACCAAGCCATGTCTCCAGCCAGAAAAGTTTGTTTGGTTCATAGTTCAAGGTACAGTCCTTCATGATGGAGAACTCAAGGCAGCAGGAACTTGAAGCAGCTGATCACATCACTACCACAATCAGAAAACACAGAAATGAACTTATGCATGCCAGCTAGTGTTCAGCTCAATTTCTCCACTTATATGGTTCATAATCCCAGCCAAGGGATGATGCCACCCACAGTGGGCAGGTCTTTCCACCTCAATCAATGAAATCAAGACAGGCCCCACAGGCATGTCCAGAGACCTGTCTCCTGAGTATTTCTATATCCTGTCCAACTGACAGCCAGCACTGATAATCACAGACTGTATTTCTTGAACCATAAGCCAAAAACAAATCCTTTAAGTTACTCTTGTAAGGTATTTGGTCACAGAGCTGAGACTTAAGGACTACCTAGTCTCCAAGTACTTGGCCAAGACTCGGGCCTGAGGCTGAAGGTGGCTGCTGCCTGCTGAACACCAGAAGTCAAGCCTGTGGTTTCCACTCTGATGCTACCACTACTGCTGGGTAGTGGGTGGGTGGAATTAATCCACTTCCCAGTGGGGATTCAGTGTGTGTGTGTGTATGGTGTATGTGTGTGTATTATATATATATATATATATGTGTGTGTGTGTGTGTGTGTGTGTATTGTGTGCATATGTATGTACCTGTGTGAATGGAGTATGTGTGTGTGTGTATGTGTGTATGCATGTATATATCTGTGCATGTGTGTATTATATGCATATTGTCAGTATGTGGATGTATATGGATGAGTGTGAGTAGTGTATATGGCATGCATGTATAGTGTGTATACACACATGCATGTGGTATTTATGGTGTGTCTGTATATGATATGTTTATAGAGTGTATGTGTGTGGTATGTATAGTGAGTCTGTGTATACGAGTGTGTGCTGCGTGTGTGTGTGGTGTATATGGACCGTGTTCTGATAGTCCTAATTATCCTTTGAACTATGTATCTTAATTTATTCCATGAGGCTCTTGGAGTCTCAACTTCAGTGAAACAATCTGCAAGCTCACTGGGCCTTTTCCAGGCTACAGGCTGGGCAGCATCTCTCCAAAGCAGCATGCAAGCTTTCTCCCACTAACATACTGTTCTGCTGACTGGATTCCTTTCTTGGGGGAAGGAGCACTCACCGAGAGCTTATCCTCAGAGGATAGCTCAGTTCTGGATTCCCTAGGCTTCTTGGGCTTCACATGGGATCCCAGCTGTAGAGACCGTCTGTGCTCTCATCTGTGAACACTTCTTTGCCTGCTTTGTCCTGAGAAGCTTCACTCTATGGAGATGTGTCTCTGATCAGTTCCTCTATGCATCTCCATGTGGGCTCTGGCTTTGATCAGCATCCAAGTCTGGAATCTCAACAGTACTGCCTGCCAGCTGGCTGTTTTATCTAGGGACAGCCACCCAACTTCTCTGTAAGTTGCTCTCTCAACTACTGAGCCATCTCTGCACTGTCTTGTCATTTGTTTGTTTGTTTGTCTGATTGATTATTTATTGAGAAAGAGTATAATGTATCTTCCCAAGCCAGCCTTGAACTCACCACATTAAGAATGACCTTAAACTTCTGATCTTCCTGTCTCCACCTCCTGAGTGCTGGGAATATGGGCACACACTATCACACTCAGATTATGCAGTGCTGGCTGGGGATTGAACCCATGGCCCCATGTATGCCAGGCAAGCACTCTACCACCTGAGCAATAGACCTAGCCTGTATTTGTCTTTAAACCCACCTTCTCTTCACACTATATCACTTTGCTCCTCTCCTCTCCCCTTGATAGAGAGCCACCCAGTCCTAATGACCACCCTTCTCAATAGGATTAGAGGGGATCAGGCCCTCATGGTGGCGTTAGTGACTTTATGAGAAAGGGTTCTTGCTCTGAATTTTACCTTGTGATATAGCAAGAAAATCCTTGCTGGATCTAGATGCCAGAACTATGCTCTTACACTTCCTCAGACTCTGGAGCCCTGAGATAACTAAACCTTTGTGTTTCATAAGTTAGCTCATCTCAGTTATTCTGTTGCAGTAACAGAAAACTAGCTAAGACATACTCACATGAAGGGGAGGAGGCAGAAAAAAAGTAGTGTGATTGCTATGGCTGCATAGACAACACCCTGTAGCAGAGCTTCCAGGAAAATCTGGGGAGCCAAAGGGCCCTTTCCTGGAAGTAGAAGACATTTCAGTAAGGCTTTCATTTTATAAGTAAAAAAAAAAATCTCTAAATGACATTTTGTGTGTTGGGTAGGGGCATTGCATGCAGCACAGTGTGCATGTGGCGGTCAGAGGACAAGTTGCAGTAGTCTGTTCTCTCCTCTCACTGCGTGACACCTAAGGATTGAACGCAGACTGTCAGCCTTGGCAGCAAGCATCTTTCCCTATTGAGCCATCTTGCACTCTCTCAGGAAGCCTTTAAGGGCTCAGATTCAGATTCCAAGATGTGCCCCTCTTCTGGCCTCAGTGCTAGGCCCTCCCTGTTCACTGCCCTCACCCAGTCTCCAAGTCCCTATGCTCACTCGACATCAGTAGGATGCTCAGACCATAGATTCCATGTTGGTTCTTTCCCTCACAGAGAAGAACTGTGCCCATTTCTGGGTCCTTGGCCAGGCTGAGGGTGCTGTTATCCCAGGGACCAAGTGTGGTAGAGGTCACCTGGAGGTGGCCATGTCCACTGTTCCCATCCACAGGGACACCGTCCACGCACCACTCCACAGAGGGTGTGGGGATCCCATGAAAGGAACAACTGCACTGCAATGTCTTCTCCACAGAACAGAAGGAGTTAAGCAGTCTGGCAGTCTCTGTGGAAAGGGAGGGTCAGGGGTCAGGGGCCAGGGGTCAGGTGTCAGGAAGGAGACCTGCCTTTCCTTTTTCATCTTCCTTCAGGACCCAGCCTTATTTTCTATATTTGCCACACTGGGGTGAAACTCAAAGCCTTCTACATGCTAGATAATGCTTTACCACTGAGCCCACTCCCAGATCCTCACTGGGGGACTCTAGGCAGGTGCTCTCCTGCTGAACTATGTTCTCAGTGCCCTCCTGGGGAATTCTAGGCACAGAGATGGTGTCTAATCCAGAATGACTCCCTGTCCTGTACACCCTTCTCTCCTCTTTCTTCACAGTCCCATCCGAAGCTTCCCCAGACAGCTCTAGAAGGGCTGCTCATCTGACTTACTGAGCTGTGGATGTGGCAGGTCCATATGCAACAGCAAGAATTCCCAGGGATACAATACTACTCACCGTCAGGAGTGAGGTGATGACAACTGAAAGAAGATGAGGAGGTGAGTGAGCAGAAATGTCCTTGCCAAGCAGGTACTTGAGACCCTCTTGGTCATCCCAAGCATCAGATGACCCAGAGAAGCAAGAATTAAGTGGGACAAGATGTTCAGGCATTTCTAGGGATAGGGAACATCCACTAAGATCCTCCGTGAAGCCCCAATACTGTGTATTCGAGTGTTTCAAGCTCTCAGAAGCTAGTAGGGATGCATGGAAGGATAGTTCACTGTGCAGAGATGGGATTTAGACGTGTGTTTCTTTGGAGTTCTTCCACTGGGGCTACTTAAGAAATGGCCAGGTTGGGAATGACTGTAGGCCAAGTGACCATGGAAGAGGCCTCTGTTGTTATTGAGAAAGAGTGGTGTGCTTGAGTTGAAATGTGAGGGACAGGGGACAGGATTCAGAGGGGTGGGTGGAATTTAGACTTCTTGGTGTTCCTTTCACTGTCCAGAAATGAGTCTGAGTAAATCAATCAGAAGTTTATAGCCAGATGTGGTGGCTCACACCTGTAATCGTAACACTTGGGAGATGGAGGCAGGAGGATTGCTGTGACTGGCTGTAGAGAGAGACCAGGCTTGTCTCTGGCTCCCGAGTACCAGGATTACAGAAAAACCAACAAAGAATGATTGTTCCTACCCTTCACCTCCACAGAAAGAGGACGCTACCCAGGTTTCCTGGTCATAAACACTCCTTACGTTCACACCGAACACGAGCCTCATTTCTGTACTGTCGACTTTCTTTTTTCTTTGTTTGCCAACTTAAAACCTCGCTCTGGATATTGGAATAAATTCAATCTGCATCCTGGCCCAAGCTTTGCCGGTAAATCACCACATCACTCTAATCAAATTTCACCCCATCTCCAACTTTGTTTGCAGCTTCACATCACATGCGTGGAATTTGCGCTGGAGATGTAGGGCTGGATCTGACTTCATAATTCTGATTTCTTCCTGCTCTCCTCTGCCAGGCTTGAAGGAGTACGTCTGAGATGGCTCCTCGTGAATCCCTTCCTGGTTTTCCTTTGCTCTTTCTCATTTTACTTCATGTCTTGTTCTCAGGGCTCCACAGAATTATTTTCCCTCAGCACACTTCTATCTGCCTGTCTCCTAAGCCCTCTTGCTAGCATGTGCTCTCCAACTGTTAGAATGTTTTGCTTTGTTTGGTTAATTTACACGGAGTCTTATGTAGCCCAGGTTGGCCTTTCTGTGTAGCCAAGGATGACCTTGACATCCTGATGCTCCTGCCTCCACCTCCCAAGAACTAATTAGTGTGTAATTAGAATTAATTTACCAAGAGGCTAGCGGGAGCCTAATTAATGTATTAACCTGGCAGTTATGGCAGATATGGATTCTTGGATTACTGATTTACAAAGCTAGCTCTCATGGCCACTAAACCGATCATTAACTCACAGGCTTCTTGTTTGTTCTATTAGTAGAATGGTGATCTGCTAGCTTCTTTTCAGGTTAACCTGGTGACACATTGAAGGTGACTGAGGGGGTGACAGGATGAAGAAGAGCGTGACAGAGACAGGACAAATAAGTGACAGAGGGATGACAGGTTGACTGGGTGACCGAGGGGAGCAAGATGAACAGCTGACCAAGTACTGAGGACTGACAGGCTGACTAGCATAGAAAGAGGCACCCGCGAACCGACTGGTGTGTAGTCGCTCTCTGCTGATCCAGAGTTGGCTTTGGATGAACCAAGGAGCTCGCGGTACCTCGATGCTGAGGTTGCCAAGCGGCCTAACCGCTCTGTGGCTGCCTCGTGAGAGGTCCAAGGATGCCACTGGCTGAGGATTGACTAAGGGAGAAACTCCACGTCCCCAGAAGCTCATCAGGAACAAACAACGTCCATGTACAAGAATTCTTAGACCTTCCCACAGGCCCAGGCGGCCAGTCATCTTCTGTCTGCCAGGTGCTAGCCACAAGCGGGCTGCATGGCAGTCTCAGCAGTTCTGCAGTGTGTGTGTGGGGGGGGGGGGGCGGTTACGCACGCGCGTGCGTGTTTGTCTGTCTGTCAGTGACCTGGTGAAGTAGAAGCATCTTATCCAACAGCCGACGACTAGCTGTGCTCCTACACTACAGCCAATCAGCGAGGTTATGATGCATAGCCACCACAGTCAGGAGCTGAGCGGTGCATGTCCCGCCCCTTTTTGTGGTGGCTCTGAGCCAATCAGAAGCTACTATGGGACGCTGAGGCCTCCCTGGCCACTCTAATGAAATCACAGGTTGGCCTCCAATCCTGCTTGCTTCCTTTCCTGTTGGTAAGCCCTGCTTCATTTTCTTCTTCTTTACACATTACACATACTTTCTGACCCATTTCACATTTTCAAAAATGCTTTTTTAAAAAAAATTATTTTCAAAAATGCCACACACGGTAAGAGTCATTTTATAAATTTAGCCATTCTGGTGTGTGTGTGTGTGTGTGTGTGTGTGTGTGAGAGAGAGAGAGAGAGAGAGAGAGAGAGAGAGAGAGAGAGAGAGAGGAGAGAGAGAGAGAGAGAGAGAGAGAGAGAGAGAGACAGAGACAGAGACAGAGACAGAGACAGAGACAGAGACAGAGACAGAGAGACTGGCTCACTGAGATTTTAATTTTCATTTGCCTGACAATCAATATGACATTATCTTATATTCTGTTTTTTTTAACTTAATTATTTATTTGCCTTACATCCCAACTGCAGTTTCTCCTCCCTCCTCTCCTCCCAGTCCTACCCCTTCCCCTCCCTCTCAATCCTCTCCTCCTCCCTTTCTCTTCAGAATATGGGAGGTCTCCCATGGATATCAGGCAGCCTTGGCATATCAGTAGGACTAGATGCTTCTTCTCCTACTGAGGCTAGACAAGACAACCCAGTAGGGGGAAAGGGTCCCAAAGGCAGGCAACAGCGTCAGAGACAGCCTCTGCTCCTTCTGTTAGGAGTCCCACATGAAGACTGAGCTACACAGCTGTTACATATGTGCAGAGGGCCGAGGTCAGTCCCGTGGACACTTTCTGGTTGGCAGTTCGGTTTCTGTGAGCCCTATGCGCCCGGTTAGTTGATTCTATAGGTTTTCCTGTGGTGTCCTTGACCCCTCTGGGTCCTACAGTCCTTCCTCCCTCCCTTTCTGCAGGACTCCCCAAGCTCTGCCTAATGTTTGGCTGTAGGTCTTTGCATCTGTTTCTGTTCCATTGCTTGGAGAAGCCTCTCTGATGACATCTGTGTTATGCTCCTGTCTGCAAGTACAGCAGAATATCACTAGCAGTGTCAGGGGTGGGCTCCCTCCCATGGGATGGGTCCCATGCTGGACCAGTCACTAGTTGTTCAGTCCCTTAATTTCTGCTTCATTTCTATCCCTTCACATTTTGTAGGCAGAACAAATTGTAGATCAAGGGTTTTATGGCAGGGTTAGTGTCCCAGTCCTTCCACTGGAAGTTTTGCTTGGTTACAGATGGTCAGTTCAGGCTCCATGTCCCCCATTGCTAGGAGTTTTAGCTGTGGTCACTCTCGTGGATTTCTAAGAGTTCCCATTGTCCAAGGTTTCTAGCTCATTTTAGAAATGCACCCCCTCCAATTCCAGCTGTCTTTCCAAGTACTCTCTTCCTCTGTCCCCACCCCTCTCCCACATAGCTCCCCCCCCATCCATCCATGATGTCTACTCTGTTTTCCCTTTCTGAGTGAGATACACACATGTCCCCTTGAGCTCTCCTTGTTACTTAGATTCTTTGGGTCTGTGGATTGTAGCATAGTTATCCTTTATTTATGGCTAGTACCCACTTGTGAGTATATACCATGTTTGTCTTTCTGGGTCTGGGTTATCTTATTCAGGATGATCTATCTATCTATCTATCTATCTATCTATCTATCTATCCATCTACTTACTTATCTTCTTCCTTCCTTCCTTGCTTCCTTCCTTCCTTGCTTCCTTCCTTCCTTGCTTCCTTCCTTCCTTCCTTCCTTGCTTCCTTCCTTCCTTGCTTCCTTGCTTCCTTGCTTTCTTCACTTTACATCCTGATCACTGTCCTTCCTCCTGGTTTCCCTCCCACAGCACCTACCCCTACTCCTCTTCTCCGCTGAGAGAATTGAACCAGAACCCAAAGCCCCCAGAAATCCCCTAACTCTGGCACATCAATCTCTGCAGGGCTAGGTGCTTCTTCCCCCACTGAGGCCCAAACAGACAGCTGAACTAGGGGAATGGATTCCACAGACAAGCAAGAACTTTAGGCGTAGCCCCAACTCCAGTTTGTGACCCACATAAAGACCCAGCTGCGTATCTGCTACATATGTGCTGGGGACCTAGGTCCAGCCCTTGTATGCTCTTTGGTTGATAATTCAGTCTCTGAGAGGCCTCAAGACTCCATCCAGTTTAGTTGACTTTGTTGGTCTTCCTGTGGAGTTCCTATCCCCTTCAGGGACCAATTTTGTCGTGTGTGTGTGTGTGTGTGTGTGTGTGTGTGTGTGTTGCCCAGGCCAATGTGGAGCTCATGGCAATCCTCCTGCTTTAGTCACCCATATGCTGCTCTTACAAGTTTGAGTCACAATGCCCAGCTCCCCTGCCTGGTTTTGTTCATTGTGCTGTTATTCATTTACTTTCCATTCATATTTCTAATGTTTTTATATATATGTATGAGTGCCTCCATCTATGTCTGCACACCATGTGCATGCAGTGCCTACAGAGGTCAGAAGAGGGTGTCAATCCCCTGGGATTAGGTTTACAGACAGATCCCCTGGCATCTCTAGGAGAGCAGCCAGTGATCCTAGCCACTAAGCTGTCTCTCCAAACTCTCCATTCATGCTTTTCTTAGCTGTTTTCTCTGATCTTAAGTATCATTAAATTTGGTTTAAAAAGAAAATTCAATACTGTTTGTACAGGAATAAGAAGAATAGGAGGGTTTTAGATTTAGACTTTACATTCTTGTCTTACATCATACTGCTACTAAATGGTGCCTAATTCTACAATCATTTAAAACTTACTTGCTTTTTGTAGAAGATTCTAGTTGGCTTCTGGTTCTTGCATCAATTGACCTAAAATACCATCCAACTCCAGCTTCAGAAGGTCTGATGCTATCTCGTGGCTTCTCCAGGCACTTGGACTCACATGGCACATGCAAACACACGCACACACACACATACACTGGCCAGTGAAAGGTGAGGCTTCTGGGCAAGAGAGAAAGGAGCCCTGGCAATTAATTAATCCTTTACTTAATCCGCACCCCCCCCCACCGCCGTTTAACAATAGCCGAGGAACTGAGCAGACAAGGAGAGAAGAAGAGAGAGGATAATTAAGTAGATATTAATTCACCAGATAACTGCAGTTTTTGGTATCAGGGTAACTTAGAGTTAAGACAGTGAATTATAGAGTAAGCAAGAGTTAAGTTTTCTAGCACTAATCAAGCACAGAGGTTTATAAAGTAAATAATAATAGTGTTAAGTTTCCTTGGTGTTTAATGAAGCCTAGAACAGTGCGAGATTTTAAGCACAGAACAGTAAGATAGAGCTAAGTAGTAAAATAAAGCATAGAAAGTTATAGAAAGAAGAAGCCAGTGATTATCAGCCACAGAATGAGCAAGAGAGTGTTGAAAAGTCTCCAGAAGCTATCCGCTCCAGCATCCAGCATAGTTAGAAAGTTATAAGATCATCAGTCTTTTGACCTTCATCTATCCAACATCTGTGCCCACATCAGCTTCTTCCCCCAAAGACAGGCAAAAGCACCCAGCAAGACTCTGTCTCAAAAAAAAAAAAAAAAAACCATCTAAAACAAAACAACCTCAAATAAAAAAAATTAGGTAAGGGAAATCATTGGAATTCATGTGTAGAAGTCACAGGGGACATACACATATACACACATACACCACACCCACACACACACACACACGTCATCCAGCTTAATTTGACCAATGATGTTAAGCACTGAGATTGATGAACCCTTCCCCAGTCTAGCCTGAATGGTGTTGCAGAAGCTAGAATTGGAGCAGCTTGTCCGAGGAAGTGGTACTTCATCTTAGTGGATCTAAGTTGATTTTTGTATATGACTGAGAGGTCTGGTTTCATTGTGTGTACAGATATATGTGTTTTGTTGAGAGAGGCTTACTTTTCACCAATGTATACTTTTTACTTCCCTTTCAAAGATCAATGGCTGGGAGTTGGAGAGATGACCCAGCAGTTAAAAGCACTGGCTGTTCTTATAGAGGACCAAGGTTCAAGTCTCAATACCCACATGGTGGTTTACAATTGCCTGTAATTCCAATTCAGCAGATATGAAGCTACCTTCCAGCCTACGCAAGCAGGCTGATCTCATGTGCGCAAACATACATGCAGGCAAAAATTACACACAGAATAAAAATTTAAATTAAAAAGTTGTCAGCTGTGGTTGTGTGGTTTCGGTTCAGACTTTGAAAAACAGTGCCATCACACCTCTGACAGGACCCTTATTCCTCAGGGTTGAGTTGACTATGTAGGGTATTGTGTGTATCGGTATGACTGTTTGGATTTAAAGAACATTTTTGTGTGTAAAGAATAGAGTTTCCATTTTGATTAGTCTGCACTGAGGCTGTAGATTGCTTTTGGTAGGGTGTTTATCCTCAGAGATTATTTCTTATGAGGAGGTCTTTCTGACTTCTGCGCTTTTCCTGTATTTCTTTAGTGTTTTAGAGTTTTCGTATACATATCTTCCACTTCCTTAGTTAAGTTTATTCCTGATACTTTTTAAGCTACTGTGAATGGCATTGCCTCCCTGATTTCTTTTTCACTGCATCTGTCACTGGTACATAGAAATGCGTCTCTAGACTGAATCTCTAGAAAGCCATTATCCAGGAGGCGGTAGAGGTGATTTGGTGGGTAAACTGAGGACCTGCATTTGTATTCCCAGCATTCACATAAAGTTACATGTGACAGTATATAACTCTCATCAAAATATTGAAGGTCAGAAAGAGGTGACCCAGGGGCTCGCTGGCCAGCCAGTCTTGCCTAAACAGCAAGCTCCAGGTTCAAGGAGAGAGTTTGTGCTTTAGCTAGGGTTCTATTGCTGTATAGATACGCCGTGACAACAGCAACTCTTATAAAGGACAACATTTAATTGGAGATGGCTTATAGGTTCAGAGGTTCAGTCCATTCTCATCATGGTGGGAAGCATGGAGGCATGCAGACAGATGTGGTGCTGGAGAGGTAACGAGCTGAGAGCTCTAGATTTGAATTGCCAGGCATGAGGAAATAGAGTGACACTGGGCCCTGGCTTGAGTATTTGAAAGCCCAAGGCCCACCCCCAGTGGCACACATTCTCCAACGATGATGATGATGATGATGGTGATGATGATGATGAGAAAATAGAAGAAGGCACTGAACATTGACCTCTGGCCTTCATACATGTACTCATGGGCAAGAGCATTGGCACACACATGTATATATTCATCCATATGAGAGATGTGGAGAGGGAGAAGGAGAAAGAGAGGTAAGGCAGGAAGAGAAGATAGGGACCATTATTATACTGAGTACAAAAACCAAAAATAGAGGGAACAACTTCCGGGGACGTAAACGAAGGAGCGCAGACTCTGTCCCAGGTCTCTTATTGCAAGGTCGGACCATGTCAATAGAGTGTGAGACTCACATACAGCAGCATAACCCACTCTGGGATCAGAATGATCCAGGAATCATCCATGAGCCATAGAGGACACACGTGCTTCACTGAGAGCAAAGCTTGGTGGATTTAGATCTCTGAGTACTCCTGAGGCTTTACCCCCATGAAATCCAGGGAAATCTGGATACTGCTGTGTTCCTAAGGTAAGGCCTTCTGCAAGGGTCTTGGATTCTCGGAGTTGCTGTGTGCCTTGGGGTCCTGCTGATGAGCCTGTGTGGAAACGAAAGAAAAGAGTCACATGGCAGGACACAGGGAGGAGGCTCAGGGAGGTAGAGAGGGTCTGTACGAGCATTCATTATAAGGCGATTGTTCCACAAATGGTTCTGAAGCCATCACTTAGTCATTCACTGGTAAGGGTGAGGTCCTTCACGAGCTCACCCATCCCATGCTCTCTACTCCACCCTAGATGTGCCTGAATCACCATGTGCATTGCGTACTGGATCCACAGGGGGGCAGCACCGTAGAGATGAGACACCGGCTCAGATGGCAAAGAGATGAAGGCAGATTGGGCAAACAAAACATGATTGCTAACGTGGCTGCCGTGTAGGTGAGCCAGAGAGACACTGAAGAACAGCAGTTTTCCCAAGGCCCACTTTCTATCTATGGTCTCCATGTGGTGGAGGCGTCATGGCAGCGTTGTTAGCACAGGCATGAGGTGCCAGTCACAGACAGGTGCATGGAACATACTGGAGCCACAGCATCAGATGCTGATGAAGATGGGTAGTGATTCTAAAATGTGATCGATTCCTGCCTTCAGTTTACTGCAACATTTCTGACCCTGGTCATGTTTACCAGGAGAGGAAAATAAGGCACACCGGAAATCGGGGAGGGAAGAAGGAAGGCAAAGGTCAGCGTGGAGAAATGGGTATAGGTGGATTGAAGCCCAGAGGGAGAGAGGCTAGGTGGTATTTCATGGCGTGAGGAGCGGAAAGAGCAAAAGAAACGCACACTGGGATCTACACAGAGGTGGTACCAGCAGGAAGGTGTGCTCTGGGTAGCTATGAGTGGCTGAGTCAGGCCCCAATATGGAGGGCGTGAAAGACACGTGGAATGCATGGACATCATATGACTAACCGTGATAGGATTTTCACAGCCCACGTGCACTGACAGCTTTGTCGTCTTCCTTCTGCAGAAAATCACACTGAGGAAACAAAAACTTGAAGTGTGGGCACTTGAGGGGCTGTGTAAAACCGTCCCCTCCACTGTGCTCTGGAGATAGACATGGCCAGCCACCTCTACCTCGTTGTTGAAATGAGTCGGTCACCAAGTGCTCCAGAGCACAGACATCTAGCCCAGGTGCCATCCCCTACCCACACACCCCTGTTTCATTTGCTCTGTGTATATCCCTTCACTCCCCCATTCCTGTCGTCCCCCCAGGCCTCCTTTATATCCCAGGGGCAGAACTCACATGAGAAACACGAGACAGAGCCCAAGAATCAGGAGCTTGATCGCTGCCTCCCCCACAGCCACCAGGACCACCTCTCTCATCTGGCCTGATTTCCCTGCAGAAACACATGCACTGGGCTGGGCTCACCCAGAAAACCACAACCCAAGTCCTTCCTCTCTCAGTTGGACTTCGATATTTGGTGTCTCAACTGACAGTAATGAGAGTTTGAAAACAAAACCCATTGAATAAGAAATTTCCTTGATGACATAGGTGTGATGAGTCAACTCCCCAGCAGACAGGACGGTCTCTCACCACCCACATCACAAGGAACCCAAACAAAGCAATTCATAAACAGCAACAAGATCATTGCAAGATAGAACTTCTCAGAAGATGGGGAAATAACCAACGAGAAAAGGAGAACACTGTCTCCTTCACTGTCAGTTAAGTGAAAACCGCAGTGGGACACTTCTGAGCACAGTGACAGTCCGTGTTTTCCTAAGAAGGGAATGTGGGGTGTGTGGAGCTCCTATGTGCTGCTAGAGGGGTGGTAAAGGTTCACTGTGGAAACCTTCGCACACTTAGAGTGAAAAGCAGAATTACCATCTCTCTGGTGGTAATCTCCCTCCTGCTGTGTGCCCAGGAGAGGGGGACATACTCTCAAACACAAACATGTGTTCCCCAAGCCTGGTGCCCAGTAGCACAGCAGAAATGACTCCAGAGTCTGTCTTCTGACAGGAGGGTGTGCAGGTGTGGTCTATGCAACACTGGGATGCAGTTTGGGTCCTCAGGGAATGTAATACTGTTGTGTGCCACAGAGATGAGACCTGAACACAGGATGCTGGGAAACAGCAAGTCAGAGGCATTTCCATGGGTTTCAATTTTGTAAAAATGTGAAGATAAGGCAAATGTGCAGAAATCACAGCAGGTGTTTGCCAGAGGCGCACAGGGAGTGATTACGTAGATCAGAGTTTCTATCTGAGGACGTGCAAAGGTTCTGGAGACCAATAGTGTGCTCCTTGTTATATGGCAGTTGTTAGTGATGAAGTTACTATTGTATAGATTATATACTGATAAAGTTAATACTGGATGAATTTATGTAAAGTAAAATTATAGATATAAAAACAACCAGGCAATTCCAAAGTCCTCCTGACAACAGAACTCCACAGCAATTCTCAGAGACTGGAGTGTGGCTTACGGCTCATCCCAGGATCAGGCTGAAGGTTTTGCCACAAACTGTATAAGTAAACACAGACCACTTCATCCCTCTCCATGAGGAAGGCACCTTTCTCCACACTTTTCTTAAGACCTGCTTCTCAGTAACTGTCAGATTCAGATATGGGAGCCTTCTGTATTTGAGCAGTAGCCACGAACCATGTCCAGAGGTCCAAAGGATTGAGGAGTTTGAGGGCTGAGGTGTTAATGTATCTGTGTGGTCTGTGGATGGGGAGGGGTCACTGGTTCTGTAGCAGAGAGTGTCTGTAGTGTGAGGAGAGGTGGTCTGGGAGCTGAAGAGTACCTCTTCTCCCAGTCCATGATAGCTCTCCCTACCTGTGACAGCTTTGGTGGGACATGGAAGAAGGGATTCTGTTCAGAATTTTTTAGGAAAAAATTTCCATTTTAAGTTGAGCTGAAGGCAAGACAAGACTGGACTTCCCATAACTAGTTAAGACAGCATAGTCAGAAAGACAGGGCCTGTGTGTTTCCAGGACCCACAAATAGTCAGGCTACCAAGACACAGCTACCATGAACCCCTGTTTTATATTCAGAGCCTTGTTTCCTAACCCAACACTCACAGGTAACATTGAGCTGGATGGTCCTTTTCACAGTGACGCCTGCTCCAGAGAAGGTCACCAGACAGGTGAGTTGGGTACCATGGTCCAGGGGCTGAGGTGTGAGGGTCAGCACTGAGGAGTTTGTGGTTCTGGAACTCAAGGAGGTGAGGGCAGCTGACATCCAGGAGAAGGTAGGGGGTGTTCCCTGCTCACAGGCCCAGGGCACAGAGCAGGTCAGATTGCTAGGATGGCCAGCTTCCAGGATCCCTGGCATTATTATGTCAGGAGTCCGTGATAGAGCTGAAGGAGGAAGGGACGGAGGGAAGGAGGGAGACAGACAGACAGAAAGGCAGAGACATAAGCCATGATGGAGACACTCAAAAACTCCCTGGACAGCAGACTGCCTCAGAACAACCATCTTTCCTCACACAGCCCAGCATCTGCATCATAGGATCTACCGAGAATGAGGTACAAGTCTTCCAACACACACACACACACACACACACACACACACACACACACACAGTGCCTTAAGATACTCTCAGGTGACTTCATTGCTTACGGGTCACATGCAGCGACAGCTGGCTTTTTTTGTAAGAGTATCTCACAAAAGGTTCTCTAACCACTCTGAAGAAGTACACTCCTGTGTCATTTTTCTGTGCATCTCTGATGAGCAGGGAACAGTCATGGTTTTGTGGGTCGCCAAGGAGTAGGAATCGGCCCCGTGTTGCCTTCTGCACTAGTTGTCTGGGGTCATTTGTGGCCACTGGAGAGTCTTCATGGAGACTGGCCCCTTCCTGGAGCCAGGAACCAATGACAGGTCCAAAGGTGGGCCCAATGGAGGGGTAGGAGACATTGCAGGGCACATGGACACACAAGCCCTCCTCGACTGTCACTGACTTGGGCGCCACCATCTGGAATTCTGATTCCTGAGCCAGGGAGCCTGCAAAGAAATGAGAGGTTGTCTTGGTCCTGTCCCACCAGCCCCTGTACCAGCCCCCACCCCCACTCACCTGCACACAGCAAGAGCAGCAGCAGTGGCCACAGCATAGCACAGTGAATGGTCCTGAGTTCCTACAAGTCAAAGGGGAAGGAAGGTTGGGTGACTGAAGCTTCCTGTCATGGTAAGAGTCTCAGACTATGGTGTCACAGGACTGAGAAGAAATCTCACTGGAACCCCAGTAATGAAAGCAGGCAGAGAGTAACTGACCAGAGAAGGAACTTCCCACTCATATGCTATCAGAGCTGCCACAGAGCTTGAAGATTAAACACTTCAACTTTCCACATGTTGGGCTACACTCACTGAAAGGAGCCCACCCCCTGCTCCTGTGTCCTCTCTGTGGCTTCCTCCCATTCCACTGGCACCATCGGAACATTAGATGCTGTCTGAAAATCCACAGCTTCTGAATCCTCTCAAAAGTTAGGCTGGCAGAAGCAGGGTTCAAAGGGTTAACAGAGGAATAAGGAATAAAGAACGAGACACTTCAGTGCACATGGACACACAGGCCTTCCTCACCTGTCACAGACTGGGGCACCACCAGCTGGAATCTTGGCTCCTGAGCCAGGAACCCTAAGAAATGAGGGGGGGGGGTGAATGTCACCTAGGGTGAAGTATGCAGAAATGAATAAGTGAATGAAGGCATGAAGAAATGAATGAGCATGTAGCAGAAGCACATCATGAGAAGCTCCTCTTTGCTGGAAAACTGAGAGGAAAGACTAAAAAGGTCTATATAGAACGAGGAGAGCCTCCAGCTGCTGCAGGGAGGGGCTGATGAAAGAACAGACGGGAACGTGACTACCCTGTGTTCTGGCAAGTAGGTTTTCAGGAATAAGTGGACAGAATGGGAGGACCAAACTCCAATGGCTTTGTAAAGTGTGGTCCCCAGGTTGACCCTCCTAATGCACTTACTTCTTTTCCTCAGTTGTCCCTGGTGCAGACCACACAGAGCAGGTTATATAGACCAGCAAGTGGGAAAACATCCAGAAGATACTGGAGAAGATACCTAGGGTTTCAGAGGCAGATGTCCTCATCTGTGTCTCTTCTGTGGCTCAGTGTTAAGCAGAGCAATTAAAGTTCCTATCTTAGGGTTTCTGTTTCTGTGATAAAATATCGTAAGTATGGTTGTCTGGATGAGAACACTCCCCTCCATGTAGCCTCATATGCTTGAACTCTTAGCCACCAGGAGGTGGCACTAGTTGAGAGGGATTAGGAGGTGTGGCTTTGTTGGAGGAACTGTATCACTGGAGGTGGACTTTGAGGTTTCAAACGCTCAAGCCAGGCCTAGTGTCACTCTCTCTTCCTGCTGACTCTGGATCTGGATGTTGAATCCCCAGTGCCATGTCTACTTGCATGCTGCCGTGCTTCCCACTGTGATAAAAAAAAATGGACTAAACCTCTGAAATGGTAAGAACACCCTAATTAAATGCTTTCTTTTATAAGAGCTGCCATGGTCATGGCATCTCTTGACAGTAATAGAACATTGGCTATGACAAAAGTTGGTACTAGGAGTTAGATGTTGGTGCAACAGGTCTGACCATACTGCTGGTTGGTGGAATGTGGACTTCAGTAGTTTAGACTTGAATATCAGTTAAACACTTTAAGGGGGTTAATGGGCCATACTGGTAGGAGCAGGCACAACAGTGGTGCTGAGAGCAATGAAGATTAAGACGGCCTTGTCCAAGAGGCTTCAGAGGAGAAAAACATTAGTAGCTGCCTAGAGACTGTACTTGTGATATTTTGGAGAAGAAGGTGGCTGCTGCTTGCTGGGGCTGGAACATGGAACCCTTGTTGAAATACATTTTCACCAGATTTATGTTTTCAACAGTTTTCTTAATTGCCTAAGCTTGGCTGGCATTGAACTCAGAGATTGGCTAACTCCTGCCTTCTGAGTGCTGATATTAAAGGAGTATAATGCCTAACTAGTCCCAAGCTTTTTTTTTTAAAGATCCTTTTCACCTTTTAAAAATTCCTCTTCACAAGTTAGAATCTTGGGTAGGTGAGGTCTTGCTCTGAGGTCACCACTCTCTTTATTCCACTTAGTGTTAGACTTTTCTTCATTCTGTTTACACTTCCTGGTACTCCCTTTTGTCTCAAACTATACATTTTGTAGTTTTCTTTGCTCAGTTTGCTTCTTTTTATTATAGATTTGCATAAGACTAGCCACTAGTAACCACAAGACTCAGTCAACACTGGGCTATTTGGAAATCTCTTCTGCCAATGCAATTAACCTTTAGGTTAATTTAGGGTTTTAACCCTTCAATTTAGCATCAGGCAGACTTTTCAGACAAGGGCAAACAGTAGCCACATTCCTTGATGACTACCAGCCAGACCTCCACTGTCCAAGTCACCCTCAGCACCGCTGTCTTCCATGCTCCTACTAGTATTTTCCGTTAAGCCTTGCTTAAAATGTCCAATCACTTTTCTAGTCCAAAGTTCCAAATGTCCCATACTTTTCTAGACAAAAGCATGTCTAAGCAAAAGTCTATCTCAGCGATACCCCAGTCCCTGTTACCAACTTTTGTCTTAGTTAGGATTTCTGTTGCTGTGAAGAGACACCATGACCACAGCAAGTCTTATAAAGGAAAAAAAAGCATTTAATTTTGGCTGGTTCAGAAGTTTAGTCTATTGTCATCATGGAGTAAAACATGGCAGCCCACAGTATCATGATACTGGCAAAGGAGCCACAAGTTCTACATCTGGATTGGCAGGCAGCAGAAGGAAAGATTTGGTGCCAATTTTTGTTTTAGAGTTTCTATGGCTGTGATAAAACACCATGACCAAAAGCAACCTGGAAAAGAAAGCTTTTGTTTCATATTGAAGCTTGTAGTCCATCATCCAGGGAAGTCAGGGCAGGAACTCAAGGAAGGAACCTGGAGGCAGGAACTGATGCAGGAGCTGTGGAGGAATGCTGTCTACTATCTCGAACATCTTGAATTGTTCTTTTTTCTTTTTTGATCTTTTTTTTTTTGTTATTTTTACATGCCAAAGGCTGCCCTCTCCCAGTCTCCTCTTCACAGAGTCCCTCCTCGGTCTTCTGAGATGGTGCCTCCCCCTTACCCACCAATCCTGGGACATCAAGTCTCTGCAGGATTAGGCTCATCCTCTCCCACTGAGGCCAGACAAGGCAGCTTTGATAAGAAGCAAATGCCACAGTCAGGCTACAGCTTTAGGGGAGAACCTCTGTTCCAGTGTTGGGGGACCCACATGGAGACTGAGCTACTCATGTACTATATATGTGCCCAGGGCCTCGGTCCAGTCCATATATGCTCTGAGAGCTCCCAGGGGTCCAGGTTAGTTGACTCCATTGGTCTTCCTATGGTGTTCCTATCCCCTTCAGGGCCTTCAATCCTTCCCTCAACTCTTCCATAAGGGTCTCTGACCTCCATCCAATGTTTGGCTGTGGGTATCTGTTTATCAGCTCCTGGGTAGAGCTTCTCAGAAGACAGTTATGCTAAGCTCCTGTCTGCCAGTATAACAGAGTACCATTAATAATGTCAGGGATTAGTGTTTGCCCATGGGATGGATCTCAAGTTAGGCCAGTTATTGGCTGAGCATTCCTTCAGTTTCCTCCATCTTTATCCCTGCATTTCTTTTAGGCAGGACAAATTTTGGATTGAAACTTTTGTGGGTGAGTTGGTGTCCTTTTATCACTCCACTGGAGTTCCTGTCTGGCTACAGGAGGTAGCATCTTGGTATAACTCTAACCAAACAAGTGAAAGACCTGTGTGATAAGAGCTTCAAGAGAGAAATTGAAGAAGATATCAGAAGATGGAGAGATCCTCCATGCTCATGGATAGGTAGGATTAATATTGGTAGGATTGCCGATTGTACCTAAAGCAATCTACAGATTCAAAGAACTCCCCATCAAAATTCCAACACAATTTTTTACAGACCTTGGAATAGCAACTTCATATGGAAAAACAACAACAGCAAAATCCTCAGGCTAGCCAAAACAATCCTAAACAATAAAAGAACTTCTGGAGGGCTCACCATCCATGATCTCAAGCTGTACTATAGAGCAATGGTGATTTTTTAAAAAGCTGCAGGGTATTGGTACAGAAACAGACAGGTTGATCAATAGAATCGAATCAAAGACCCATAAAGAAACCCGTACACTTATGAACACTTGTTTTTTGACAAAAAAAAAAAAAGCCAAAACCATACAATGGAAAAAAGAAAGCATCATCAACAGACGGTGCTGGTCTAACTGGATGTCTGCACGTAGAAGAATGCAAGTAGATCCATACTCATCATCTGGTACAAAACTCAAGTCCAAGGGGATCAAGGACCTTATTTAAAACCCTTTGTAGTGATTCATTGTTATTTCATCTCATGCACCCTACGCTCGCTCATCTCTCCATCCTTCCATATCCCCCTGCGCCCTTGCAACCTGCCCCCAAGAGAAGACAAATAAAGCATCTCACTATGAAGCTCTGCTGTGTCACAGTTTGCCATATAGTATATACCATTTTGCCCAAACAGCTTTTCTTGCAAATGGACATTTCAGTGAGTCAGTGGTCCTGTTCAAGGAGGCCTCCAGCTTCCATGCTATACTATGAGCATACCCTCCCTGGGACTCCTCTCAGATATCCTGCTGTTGCCCTGTGTCACGGAGCTTTGGTTCTGGAGGGCCAGCCCCTTCACACACTCCAGCAGTTAATAGATGGTAGAGATGTTGGTATGGGGCAACTCAAAGCCCTTGATGTGGCCTGGGTGGTAGCCTGCCAGCTCTCCCATGCTCATACCAGCAGGGCCACCTCTCCCACACTGCACCCATGCCACCTGGGCCAGCTCTTCAGCACTGCCCAGGCAAGGAGCAGTGCAAGCTCAGCCACTATCACATCCTCAGGGCTGGCTTTCCCCCTACACACACCTCCACGGCCAGCTCTACTGTGCAGCCTAGGCAAGGTGAGGGGTGGGGAAAGCTCACCTACTTTTATATCCTCAGGGCTAACGCTCCCATGCTGCCCAGGCTAGGAGGTAAGGCCATCTCTCCCACACTCACACCCTTGTGTGTTGGTGAGGGGGATGCACCACCAGGGCCAGCTTTATTGTGCTTCCAAGGTGAGGTGTAGGCTCACTGATTCCTGCTCTCCTGAGTGCTGCATACTGTGAGAGGCAGGACAGCTCTCCTGTTTTCCTCTAGTCCACCTCCTGGATTTTTCAACTTGCCTTCTTACCCACCATCCTAGGTCACAATGACATGAGTTGCAGACTCATGGGTGTTGGGTGTTTAACTTGTGCAAGAATTCACATGGACCACCTTATCTGTCTTCAGTGTTCATTCTGAGATTCATGTCCTCAACGAGCCATTCCTCATTGTCCACAGCCTGCAGGAATTCCTCCTGTGAAGTTCCCCAAGGAACATTAGGGACTGGTCTCCCTGATTTCTTTTGTGCTACCTAGGGAAGAGACAGAACCACTCTCTACATAGTCACGTGTCTACCCTCACAGAGCATCATGTGCTGAATCAGGTCAAAGGTCATGTTTTCAAGTTCTAATTCCCCAGTCCCTCAGACTGTAACTGTGTCTGGAATAAACTGTTTAAAGGGTTGTAGTGAGGCAATTAG